AAAAGATCACTATCTAAATAAGACCTAAAACTGCACTTTGTTGTGTATAGCGGGCTCAATCTGCATTCAAATGAGTTAATCCCGTCTATCGTATACACTCAATACTGTGAAACTAAAGTAAATGACATCTAATGAGGGCAAAAAATGTTGGAAAATTCCATCCTCTTTACACACCATGACAAAAACCATCAACTGCATGGCAACACGTAAACAGCTTTTACTGTTCAAGCAAGTTCCATATATTCCACAACCAGAAATCTCGTCCCCAAAAGCAGGTTTAAAAAACCCTCAAATGCATAAAGGGAATAAATGGATTTGTAGTCTCTAATAAAGCTGGACAAGTTAAAAAAAAAAAAAAAAACACCTTCATGTACACGTACTTCAACTAAGATCCTAAAACAATTGTTTCTTTAATTACTAAAATAAGTCTGGTCCCCACCTTTACATCCCTGAGTCCGCAAAGAACTATATCTATAGGTGATTCTAAATATTTTTATCATGGACCCCATTAATTTTTGGAGCATTTGAAATCTCCCCGAAAATTGCACGTACACAATACTTTACATAAACAGCAGCAAATTCACTAAGTTTCTTGAGGGGAAGAGAGTGGTGAAAGAGAAAGCGCCCAGGGTCACTAAGTCCAGACGCCTGGTGTACAGAAATCGTTAACGTATCTCACAGTACAAGTCAGGAGACCTGGGTCAGTCCCCGGCAGCGCCGGTCCCCGCCTAGGGCCGCGGCTGCAGATCAGGTCGCCGCCCAGACGTGCACCGACGCGTGCACTCGCCGTTCACCAGTCGGCGGCCACTCGCCTCGCCGCCCGGGAAAGCTCCACTGCTCGCCCCACCTCTCCGATAAACAGCAACTCCCCCAGCGGAGGACGCCCGCCCCGAACGCCGCCTCTGCTTCCCCCAGCGCCGCGCACCATTTTCTGAGAGGAAGTGTCGGAAGGCCGAACCCGGCTTGCCGGGCTTGCCGGGCTTGCCGGGCTCCCCGGACTCTGGGCGCGCGGGGCTGACCCCGGCGCCGGCAGTCAGACCAGGCTCTCCGAACGCTTCGCGGTGTGCGGCGTTAAGGCTGTGAAGAAGCAGACATTACAGACCAAACGCAAAGGAGAAGCTCCGGCGGACGGCGCCTCCGCGGTGCGGGAATCCCCACCCAGACGCCCGGAAACCCGCCGTCGGGCTCCGCCGGGGCCGCTTCTCCGGCCGCCGGCGCCCGGCTCTCTAGCCCCGCGAGTCCCGCCAAGACCCTGGAGGAAGGAGGGCCAGTGCAGCCCGGGGCAGCCGCCGCGCCGCCGAGCACTTACCCATCCATGGCCCAGATGGAGGAGCGCACAGTACAGAGACTGACGGGCTCACTGCGAGCGGAGAGTGCGGGTGGTGGCAGTAGGGCGGCCCGGAGGACAGGCGAGCGGCGCCTCTCCCGAGCCCCGGCGGGTCGGAGGTGGAAAGAGAGTGGGAAACAGGGGCGGGGACCGGGCACGCTCCCGCCACCGCCGCGCCCCCGCCTTCCCCTCCCCGCGGGCGCGTCCCCGCCTCGCCTGACTCCGCCCCTCAGCGTCGCGCCCTCCCTCGGGGCACGCCCCTACGCTCGCGCCCACCCTCGCCCCACTCGCAGGCGGCCTCCGGCTCGGCTCCAGGGCGCCCTCTTCCCGCCGTTGCCGAAAGGCCCCGCCTCCCGCGCCCCATCCCGGCGCGCGTGCGCGACCCCCAGCTTTCCTCCTGCGTTCGCGGGAGCGCGCGCCTTGTGCTTCTCGCTCCGCCGACAGCCCCGCCCGCGCTCTCGCGGCCCCGCGGGCCTTCCGGCTTCGCGGACCGGGCAGCCCGGCTTGAAAACCTCGCTCTGCTGGCAGGAAAAGCCTTGGGGTCCTGACTCCCCAGAGTAGGTAGGAATGTCCCGCCAGAAGCCTAATTTCGAGGTGAGATTGCCCCGAGTGTGTGGGGATGTAGGTGGCACGTCCCAGCGGCCAGAGGCTGGCTGTGGGCTTCGGAGCCCCGGCTCTGCAGCCCCAGGAAGCCCGCAGTCGAGACCCGGGAGGGGACGCCGGTCTACCGCCCTGCGCTCGGAGTCGACCACCGGGACCCGCACCGGTCAGGGACGATGCATGACGGGAAAGAGATTGCCCAGACTGGAGAACATTTGAATTTTTATGCGGTTTTAGTCTCCGTGCTTTTCAACCTGACCGCCCGGTATTGAGTTTATATGAAACATTCATTTCGTAACTACAGAATGGCCAATATAGTGCCAGCATTTTATAAAAGTTTACTCATGCCCTTTGGGGCGAGGACTCTGAGGAAGGGATTATTCCTGTTTTTCAGATGAAAATACAGTCATGAATACAGGGAGTTGCCCCCCCTCCCATAGCCAGGAAACGTTTGCACAACAGCCCTTTCCTCTCGCCTGAGCAAATTATGTGTATACACATATATGTATTGTATGTATACACACCACTAATGATAACAGGCTTGCTTTTTTCTCTTTTATAGTCTGGTTGTGAAATTGAATGATTTTTCAGTTCACACATTCCCAAAACGTAAACCACTAAACGCTGTGCTTAACAAATTCTTAACTGCCTAAGTAGCAAGACGGGGCTCCCCATCCTCTCCCTGGTCTCATTTGAAAGGTTGCATCCAAAAAAAAAAAAAAAGAAGAAAGAAAGAATTAAACTGTGTATTCATCCATCATTCAGTATTTATTGAGTATCTACTATGTCCCAGGCATTACGGGGAATACCCAAGAGAATCAGGTTCCAGCTTTCACTTTTGAGTGGATTTCTGTCCGTTTGTTTCTTTTTTTTGGACAGAGTCTTACTCTGTCACCCTGGATAGAGTACCCATCCTGGCCTCATCATAGTTCACAGCAGCCTCAGACTCTTTGGATTTGAGCAATCCTGCCATCTGGGCCTCCCAGAATGCTAGAATTAGCCCTTTGTGCCCTTTGTGTCTTTTTTCTTAAACAATTTTCAAATAGCTGGGATATCTAATTTTGTGAGATCATTTTTGGGTTTTTTTATTTGTTTGTTTGTTTGCAGTTTTTGACTGGGGCTGAGTTTGAACCTGCCACATATGGGGCCAACATCCTATTCCTTTGAGCCACAGGCGCCGCCCCTGTGAGATCATTTTTTTAGTAATGTATCTAACATCAATCTTTCCAACCAGTCAAACATATTTTGTTAAATTGCATTTATAAACATTGCTACCCTGCATTGCCAGATAGAAATTGATTATAGTATCAGCAAGATAAGCAGTGTGCAGTCTTTCTATTGCTGTATTTGAAATATATTCTGTTGATGAAATTTCCTTAAAATTTTTTAGTTACACAAGTACTATAATCATAGATGCTCATTCTGAAAAATTCAAGTTATTAAATATCTAAAAGTTATAGTTATTTTTCTTCCCAAACCATACCCTGCCCATGATCTTATGCATCCTTCTAAATCTTTGCCATTTCTATTTCCTTTTTTCACCTATAAATCCTGGGTACTTTTTCATAACAGTACTTTTAGTCTAATTATATTTAATACTGCATAGTATTTCACAATTTTCATAAATTAATCTTTTCCAAAATAGCAGAAATTTACATTGTTTCTAATTATTTAGTATAACTAACACTGTCACAGAAAACATGTATGTATGAACATCTTTGCATACATATGATTACATTTGAATAGATTCCTAGAAGTAGAATATCAGAACAAAGGACATAAACATCTCAAATTTGATAAATGTTGCCAAAATGATCCCAAAAAGATTGTACCCATTTACAGTTTCTTTTTTTAAAAAAAGTTATGTCTGTCTTATCTCCGTGCCTTCAGATGACTAACACATTTCAATATTAAAAAATAAATGAATAAATTAATAAATTAATATCAGCATGTTAATGATAATTGTGAAAAGTCAACGATTAACAAGTTAACAAAATTATATGACATTTTATTATATGAAATTAACAAAACTATATGACATTTTCTAAAAACTTAAAGCCTGGTTTTAATCCAGAAGCCTAGATATAAGGAGACAGTTTACAACAAAAAACAAGATGAAACCTTTCCCTTTGTCCTGCCCCTTGGTACTAAATTCAAAGAACTTCTTATGGACTAAGTAGGCAGTACAGAGTTTAGTTCTCAAGGACTACTTTTAGAATTGTATCTGCTCCCATAGCCTAGATAACATAGAAGAGCCAGTGTCGTCTATAATCTGAGCAGAAGTTTGATTTTCTGGCTTGAGGTGAGAGCTTTATGTTCCGTGTGCTATCATTTTTTTAAGACAGTCTCACTCTGCTGCCCAGGCTAAGTGCCATATCATCAGCCTAGCTCACAGCAACCTTAAACTCCTGAATTCAAATGATCTTCCTGCCTCAGCCTTCCAAGAAGCTGAGACTACAGACACCTGCCTAACCTCCCAGTAATTTTTCTATTTTTAGTAGAGATGGGGTCTCACTCTTGCTTAAGCTGGCCTCAAACTCCTAAATTCAAAGGATCCTCCCACCTCTGCCTCCCAGAGTGCTAGGATTATAGGCCTGAGCCACCACACCTGGCTTCTTAACGGTGAAAAGGGTACATTTTCCCTATTTGCTGATTGCTGTATGCAGTTTCACATAATTTAGTTTATACATTTTGTAACATTTTATCTTCCTTAATGTTTTTGTTCTAATTTGCCTAAGAGATTACCCTAAAACACCTTTATCTGAAAAGAGCCCCCACCACCACACACACAATGTTTGGACAAAATGTAACTTTTGAACATTTGCCTTAAGACATTCCAGTATGCAGTGGTTAGTTAACATTTAACCATTACCTTATTTATAAGTAAAACTCATAAGTTATAAAGTAACATAAAAATGCTGGCTCGGCCAGCCAAGTACACCTAAGGTGGCGGGTTCGAATCCCCAGCC